TATATATATATATATACACACACACACACACACACACACAATACTTAGAGGAATGAGGAAGATACATATATTCTTTCATTATATATATATATATCCATATATATATACATATATATGGATGCATATACATATATTCTCTCATTATACATATATTATAATTATATATATATATTATATATATAGTTAGTAACAAACCATGTCTCTCCCCATACTCCCCACCTTCCCCCCTCCAGAGAAATAACCATCATGCTAAATTGTGTGTTTATCACACCATTAATCTGTGTAAAATACACTTTCACTGCATATACTTTCCCAATCAAGATATTGTACTGCTGTTTCTGAACCTAATAAAATACTCTCATGCTGTAAGTGGTCTTCTGCACCTTTTAGCACTAACAATGAATTTCTAAGAATCATACATGCTGTTTAATGTAGTATAGTGTGTCATTATTTTTTTGAAGGGCACAAAATTCATCCAGAGCCGATTTAGAATCCAGACCCTTTAGTGCTGAGAGTCACATTCCTCAAATTTAAAGGAAATGGAAATCTAAGGTTTTTAGAAATATCTGTGACCAAGTTGTTCTTTTCCTGGAAAGTGATTAAAGGGTCACAGAAAACTGACCAATATTGAGATATAAATGCATTAAAACAAATACAATACCTCAGCCAATAGTTCAAGAATCCCACTTATATCTATGATAACAAACACATGTGAAGAACTTATTCTATCTGGTATCACATTTTAGAAAGGAAAATGAAAAAAAGAAAGAGGGACAGCAGGATGGTGAGACACAAGAATAGATGAAGAATCTGGAGATAATGTCAAGGCCTGAATTGTTATTCTTCAGATAGCTTCCAGATAATCATAAGCAAGAGAGATTCTATCTCTTCTGCCCAATTTCCTTGGAAAACTGAGAGAAATTTTTGAAATCTAGAATGCAGGTGTATTCCTCTAGAGAAGATATATATTTGCTTTTCCAGACACGTAGGGGCCCTAACAAATCCGGGGCACTTTAAAGCAAATTAACAGTTTGAGGTTATATAAATTTGGGATACAACTCCATGCAAGTACTAGCTTCTGGTGAAAACTTCTCAGGGAGAAATTCTGTCCCTGTATCCGGACACTTCTGGTGGCAGGGGTGAGGAGCTCACCAACACAGCATAGATACGGACTTTTGAAATTCCAGCTTAATATTTCATGTTAGATTATCCTCCTTGGTCAGTACGGAGCTTTGCCTTCTTTCTCTTGAGTTTTGTGAGGCCCTAAAAACCAAAACTCAAAACTGAAGTATACAAATGTCCTCAGAGCAAAAGTGACTTCACTGGTTTCAATCCTTTGCTTATTAGGCATAACCTCTGGTTTTCTGCCTTCAATTATATTGTAGCCTGATTTTACAATTTATAAATAATGTGTGATAAGTATATGGGTGCGTGTGCGTGCGTGTGTGTGTGTGTGTGTGTGTTATGTGTGTATGAAATTACAAAGACACAGATATTGGCATAATGTACTGAAGACATTTCTATCAGTCAGGCTAACTATCCAAAATCAACTGGGTTGTCTCAGGAAATAGCAAAGAGAGTTCCCTATAAGTGTTTTAGTGGAAGTTTGATAATCACACATCAGGAAATGTACATGATCCAAGAATCTGATATTTGATCAGTCTCTTTCAGCCCTCAGTTACCATGACTCTTATAAAATACAAGGGAAGAAACATGTTACAGTTATATATGAGATGTTACTGTACAGCCTTCCCTGCATGGGGCAATTCATGGTAAGGAGGAATTATAATAACAGAAAAGAAAAATCAAGAGTTTCAGTCAATTGATGGGGTCTTTTGGGGTGCCTGGATGGCTTAGTTGGTTAAGCATCAGACTCTTGATTTCAGCTCAGATCATGATCTCACATCTTAAGGTTAATGAGTTCCAGCCCCAGGTAGGGTTTTGCTTTGATGGTGCAGAGCCTGCTTGGGATTCTCTCCATCTCTTTTCTCTCTGCCCCTCCCCTGCTTGTGTGTGCTCTCTATTTCTCTTCCTCTGAAATAAATAAATAAACTTAAAAAAAATTGATAGTGTCCTCAAAACAGCCTATTTCACAAGAATGGCTATTAATAGACAGTTGCCTTTGCTTAGCCTAATGCCAAAACTACATAGAAAAATTCTTGTTGATTCACAATTTTATTTTCCTCTATTTTTACATCATTGGTTTCAATAAATTATGTGTTGAAAAATGTTATTAGGGTTGACTGCATGAATTCAGATCAATTTCCTTTAATATTTCATTCTTCAAAAACGGAGTTCATATCTTATTCATCTTTATATTCCCATTCCCAGGAAAAATGGCTGGCACTTAGTAGGTCCTCAGTAAATGTTTGCTCAGTCGAGCCCCATGTTCCTCAGCTGGAATACTCCTTCTTTTTTTCATCACTCACCAGGGAGAACAAACCTACTTTGACAGGCTGTTCTACTGAGAGATTTTCTAAGGTTGTTTTTGCGTATTTATGGGTCTACCCCCATCAGAATAAAAACAAACATAATAGTACTGAGCTGCACAACTGCTGGGCAGTGTATACTCAGCATCACTAAAAGGTTTTTTTGAGGATTACATTTCAACATTTTCAAACCCTGATTGTCATCCAAACTTTGTAAATAAGATCAAGTTTATTCAATTCCATATATTATAAGCCTACAGAAAATTAGCTAAGAACAGGTGGCTTTAAAGTTCAGTTCAGAAATCTCACTTTGTTTTACAAGGCTCATCAAGGATCTAATTTTTAAAAGAACCAAAATAATAAAGAGCCTTACCTCAGCATGAGGAGTAGGTGGCAAAACTGAAGTCTCATTTTCAGTAACGTTACCGGTTGGCCCATTGTTTGGTGAGCTGGGGCCAGACCCTGGAGAGCTGCTACTGACTGAGGATTCTGAAAAACATTGTGAAGCACAAACAGATTCGTGACAAACATACAAAGATGAGCTTTAGTTATACTCTAAGTAACATACAGCACAGAACACTCTTTTCCTTCCCTATGGGAATGACAAGCACCATTTCAGTACATTAAAAAACAAAAACAAAAACAAAAACAAAAACAAAAACAAAAACCTGTGGAAACTTTTGAAACATTTCTGAATTTTCATACCACTTTTCTCCCTTTGTTTTCACTGTTAAAAATACAACCCAGTACTCAATAATTTCTAGAAAAGTAAGGATATCCACTTAGAGATCATTATAGAAGTTTTTGATGAAAAAAAAATAAAGAAGTTCTTTGGTATAAATTCTGAAACACATCTTTCTCACTGCCTTTCTGTCTATATATTTTGCTTACATTTTGATTAATCTGCTCTTTATCTTTGATTCTTTCTTATTTGCTGTTTTTTGTTTTTAATTTTTTTAACATTTATTTTTGAGAGACAGAGAGAGGCAGAGTATGAGCAGGGGAGGGGCAGAGAGAGAGGGAGACACAGAATTTGAAGCAGGTTGCAGGCTCTGAGCTGTCAGCACAGAGCCCGAAGCGGAGCTCAAACTCACGAACTGTGAGATCATGACCTGAGCCGAAGTCGGTCGCTCAACTGACTGAGCCACCCAGGCACCCCTTTGCTGTTCTTTTAATGAGAAAAACACACATTAAAAAAATACTTCAAGGAGCTTCGTCTCCCCTAGACTCCTAATTCTTGTCCTTCCTTGTGTGACTACTGTTTTCTCATTAATGTCTCATTTTCATATCCTGTCTTTAAAAACAAAAACCAAAAAGTTATTTTCTTATATCTGCCTTGTCATTTTAAACCTATATTATTTATATCTTGTGTGTGATATTCAGACCGAAGTATTTCCTTATTTAGAAATCACTGCCATGAGCACTAGAACTCAAGGCAGCAAACAAATGCCGCTACAGGATTCTACAACACTGTACTGGATGAGCTCTGGAAGGGGAGGCAGCAACTGATTTTTTGGGATCACTGAGAAAGTCTCAGAAAATAAGTGATATTGCACCTGGTGCTTGAAGAGAAGTGGTTCATGATATGCAGGCAATGGAGAAGAAGGGAGTGGAGGAGAAGGCATCGCAGGCATGGGGATGTGCCAAGGCTTAGAATTTTAAAATAACATAGCTTTGGTGGAAAAGGGGCAGAAAACTCTGGAATTTAAAAAAGAGGGAGATGGCAAGTCATTCCCATGTCAATTATTGGGAGGAAAGGGGGCATAGGTTTGGAAACAGCATGCACTTGAACCTGTGTCATGGGGAAGACAGATGTACAGATGTGAGAACAGCAACGCCAATTTAACTGCTATGATGCTATGAAGTCTCTGCCTAGATAGTAAAAGTAATTAGTATTAAGTTCCAAACACAGCTCATCCCAGTTACATGAAAGCTGGCAGAAGAAGGGGGAGGAGTACAGGTGACTACAGCTGTCTGTCTGGTAGTCCAGATCCCCCAAAGACATTTAGAATAAGTACAGCATACTAGTTTAAAAAACATCTGCCAAAGTGTCCACAAGTCCTAGCTCACTGAGCAGAAATGTGTGTCTAAAAAACATACAAGTCTCTCTTTGAAAACACATTATTTCCTCAGATGAAAGGGGCAGTCATTATCTCACAAAATTAGGGAGGGAGAAATATGGCATTTAAAAAAAAAAAAGAATGAAAGAAACTTGAGCAAAACTCCAGCAAATCATAACCCCTTTAAGTTAGAATTAATCATTATCCAGATTGGTATTGAGCAAAACTCTGCTGCAATATGGCAAGTTACTGTGGGGGGAAAGTTACAATGAAGAAAAGATCGTAAATAGAAAAGAACTTTGGGTTATATAAATATTACCTTAGAGAATCAGATTCTAAAGCGAAAACAAACAAAAAGAGCAAAGCAATGTATATGTTTTTCTTGTTTCTTCAGGTTTTCCTGTTATGAGGTAGCATATTCTCTCCAATTAGAAAAATCACTCATATCTACTTGCATTAGACAATGATATTTTCATCTTCTTTACATTCATGAAAACAGATTCACTCCCCAACACCCCAAACCCACTAAGTTCCTCTATTATAAAAACTTAATTAAGATTTTTATTTACGTAAGTACAAATATGCATTCTGAAAAAGAAAGTCTATAGCGCCGAATTTAGAATTGTCCAAATTAGTGATGATATTTGATATTAAAAATAAGTATAAACTTTACTATTTATTTATTTAACAGGTCTTATCTGTCAAGGAAAAAGTTTCCAATAATACTTTATTTGGATACACATATTAATCTATCAGGATTGCATAGGAGATGATGCATCTTTTTTTTCCTAAATAACCTGCCAAACTACCAAGTCACATTAGTATTCTGTATTTTTCACCTCCACCACCTTTGCCCTATCGTCTCCCCAAACTGCACACTATGATGGCCACAGGAGATACAGACAAGTCATTTTTAAAAATTATTATCCTTACCTGCTAAGGATAAGATCTGATCTTAGAGGAATAATAGCAACTGACTAGATTGGTATAACCATGGAAAAAAATGGTTGCAAATGACCACTTCTTTATTGATGCAACTGAAGGAAATGACCAGATACAATGCATAGCTCCAAGTAGGTACTCAGTAAACAGTAGTCCATACTATTACTTTGGCTAGCCTTTTTGGTTCTCATATCCCTAGGTCCTCTCTAATTTCAGACCAGGTACAACTGGGACTAGAAAGCTTTGTAAGACATCAGGTTGAATTTCCTAACCTGTTCACCCCACCACTAACCAGGCAGCTAAAAAAATAAGAACTCTTCCATTTGAGACTAGTGAAAATGACAGTTTCTTTCCCTTCCTAAAAGGCAATATATCCCCCTCCTGCCATAAGTCCCAGTTCACTAGTAAACACATAAAGTCATTTATGAGTTCTGTAAATTTGTTGAAAAGTCAAGGTTTTGCTGTTCCACATAGTTTAATTTTCCCAGATGCATTTTGTACATTCATGTCTGAGTATGGGGGAAGTGTTCTTCTTGGACCTCCCTCTGCTCATTTCTGATCAAATTTCATTAAAAGTTATATTCTTCTAGTTGGCATTCCTAAAACGGACTGCCTGTTTCTGAAAAGATTAAGGTGAGCTTTGGCATTCCCTAGTTACGCCTAGATTGACACATAGTTCTGTTTTTCATTCATTTCCTATTTAACACAGTTGGTGAATGCATGGCAGGGTTTACTGAACTACTTGTGAGTTTTCAATATAATTTCCTTTCAAGAAATGTTTCTCCTCAAAATAACTTTAATATGCAACAGCCATGTTTATTCTAAACTATTTATTTTCATTCCTCCTACCAGCATTTTTTAGTGTATGTCTGCCCAGTCCTCAATTACCTGTCACCTCAAACATTCGCTTCTTGAATGAAGTGACAACATTTCCATCCTTCCGCCTGAGTAAGGGGCTGCTTCTCCTCTCTGCCACTTTCTGTTTTAACCTGGACCGCACCTTCAAGTTGGGCTCAGAGGCTGGGGATTGAGACAAAGAAAATAGATAAAAATTAAAAAATAGAGAGCCAGCTGCTCCTGTGTATAAAAAACGGCTCACCCTTTTCTTGGTTCCTTCTCATCTCAAATTAAAATTCCAACCATGTAAAATAAGGCATTAACTCTAAATGAATGAAACAGACAAATATAGTAATTATTTTTATGAAATGTGCAAAATGTTTTCCTACTTCTCTAAATATGAAGTGAAAAAAGAGTAAAAATATAAAGTTTTCTACTTATTTTATCTGACAGAATTGGGATTGCTGGGAGGTTTAATCATTAAATATGTTTGGGTCAGAGTAAGATTTATTATACGTCATTGTCAGCTCTTTTAATTCTCCCAAGGGTGAAACGCAATACCACAAAAACAGTACCCTGATGTGATTTTTAGAGACTCTGGCCTGACTTCTGGTAATAAGAAGACACCTCTGTAGCATATAATTTATGTCTAATTCTGATTCCTGGAATATTTCTTTGTTGGTAGTTTCTAACCTGATACCCTGAGAAAATATATTTGGTATATTAACACCAAACCAAGAAGAATCATTATGAATAAAACTTTCTACACATTTAGTATACAATCAAATAGAAAGAAAGGGTGGCCAAGCCTTAGATTTGAAAGTTCCGAGTTAGGTTATATGTTCCAAAGTACAAATGCACATTATACATTAGTATACATACATTAGTATTTCTTTGGTTAAACTATTCTAGGTAGTGATGTTCTCTAATTTAGTAATTATGTATTAGGCTTCTACGTAATTATACTCTAGAAGAATGGGAACACTGGATTGAGCCCCTATGTAGTACAAGTCAGTGATGGTAACGAAAATGGTGATGACGTTGATGATGACATCATCACTCTTTTATGAAAAGAGTGTTTCCAACGACAACTAACATTCATGTAGTGATTCCCATGTTCACTACTGTTGTAAACACCTTATTAATATTAACTTGTTTAACCATGAGAAAAAATCTATATGGGACAGATTCTATTTATACCTTGATTAGATTAATGAGGCAACGAACACAGAGAGGGTAAGTAACTTGCCCAAGGTCTCAGAGGTAAAAAGGGATGACACCATGATCTATACCTAGATAATCTAGATCAAGTCTATTCTTCTAAATACCAAAATATTTCTGCTCCACCCTTCCTTGTATATGAACATGATAACAATTATAAACCTTTTCCCAAAGCATTACTAATCATCTGCGTTAGATATGATGGTATCATGCAGCTAGAGTTTTCGGTGAGTGAAATGTTTTCTTTGAAGGAATTTTATATTTTTGCCTGACTGCAAAGTGTGTCAAAGTAAAACTTAACAATCTTTTCTTTCTTATCCCTCTTTATTATTGATTTGTTTTTATGTTTAGACTTCAAATATCTGCATGTTCATTTTGTCTTTTTGTTTTCTGTTTCCCTTCTCTGCAGCTTGACGTTGGATGAAGAACCCCTACATTTTAGCTTTACTTGGAATGAGCTTGGTGAAATAGGAACTTGAAAGAAATATCCAGTTACAAAAATAAAACAAGTTAATTTTTTTTTGTGTTATACACCTGATTTTATGGCCGAAAACCCTGAAAAGGTAGAGATGGGTGGCTTGAAAGTATTGCAAAAGTAGAAAATGAAAAAGGGGGTAGGCAGAGAGCAGGACTGAGAGCAAGAAGCTCAGTGCCGGAGCCCTGATATGTACTATTTCCTGGGGCCCCCACCTTGAGGCAAAGAAGGTAAACAGTTTGGGTAAAGGATTAAGGTTCTTCCAGACCTTCCAGGAGTTGTCAATCCGCTTTATCTTAGTGGAGAAGTCTGAATTTGAATTACTAGCATCTGATTCAACCAGGATTAAAGGGAGAAAATAAAACTGTATTAATTCACTTAGATATGTTTCCCTGTACATGTTTATTTTTAAATTCCTTTAAAACACCAATTGTTGTCTCTAAAAAGCTGTAAGTTAATAAATATATTCATCTGAAACCTAGAAAGGAAGAAATGAGGAATCTCTATGTACTAACTCTTATTGCTTTCCACTGTGGCCTTGCTTATAACCTGAAGACAAAAAATTACAGATTCTCAGACTTTGATCTAGACATGCCTTGATGATGAAATCTAAGTATAAAATGCTACCGATTGACTGGCTCTCCAGAGGAAGACTATCAATTGATTAATCACTTTAAAGGATGGAGTAGGAAATGCACTATGTTTTCAGTGAGAAGAGGTGAAGTCCACGTCCCAGCTATGGGATATTCAGTAAGACTCCAGTACTCTCTGAGCCTGGCTCTTCATTTCTGAAACATAAAAATCTAATACTTCCTTTATTTTAGAGCTATGGCCACCTGATTAGATACCTGAAAATAACTGTGAAGATCTAGATGAATGCAAGGGAAGGAAAGGTTTATGGAACTTTCATTACTGCTACTACTGCCAAGGACGGCAGGAATGACCCAGTCAGCACTGGGTCCCCACTCTCCTGATTTTCAGTCCAGCCCCCTTCTCTCTCCTAACACACTGAACCAGTTGGGGCCGAGTTTCTGCAATCAAGACTAAAATGTGCCAAAAAGCTTAGAAAAACAGCAGAGGCCATTTAAACATTCTACATGAAACCTAGAATTCCGTAAGCTTTTCAGGGAAAAGAAAATGATTTGTCAGGTCAGCACATAGCTTTAATTCCTATGTTTGTTTCAGAGTGGGCTGGATATACCGTTCTAAAATTTCTTTCAAAGGTCGACACAAAAAAAGTGAACACCAGACTAGGAATGAGAACTGGGTTCTGGTCTTGTAGCTATCAGCTACTAAAATCAATAACCTTGAATAATTCCTAGTCTCTGAATGTCAGTTCATTTATGCAAATCAGCTATAGATTACTAGTAGGGCATGGAGTACCTTGGCTTTGGGTGAATTACTTTGTATCTTTAAACCTCAGTTTTTCATGTTAAAATGGGGACAGTTTTTTTTTCCCCTCCATGTGCCCCAATAGACTCCATTTTACATCTTTGTCTGAGCCCATAAGGCTGAGTACTGGGGTTGCCTCACTCTAGTCCTTTGCTGGTTTTATTTCCTTTGGGCTCATCTCTGGGTAGGACTGGTTAGTGATAAAGGATTAAGGAGGAGGGAGGGGCCAGGGTATCCTCTGTTCTCTCTGCCTCAGTGTTGCATCACTGGCTAGAGTTTTGTTTCTTTCTGATTTCATCTCCCTCGAGAGGCTTCTGCTCCATGGTTCCAGCTTTCCCAGAACTCCAGAAACATTATTTACTCTCCTTGCTTTTTCAACCCTAGGGGTGGGAATCGTTTCTCGCTGCTATTTTCTGGGTGCCTCAACATCCCTAAGCAGTTGTAAAGTACTCCTTTCATAAAAGTCTATGACCAATATTGTGAATGTTCCGTTTCCTACCAAGACTCTGATTAACCAAGTCCCACGTACTCTGCCAAGTTTTTGTAGAATTAAATTAAATCATGCTCAGTAAAGGATAAACCAGTGCTTCTCAGTCAGGGAAGATGTTAACACCATGGGACAATCGGTAATGTGTGGAGATATTTTTGATGGTCAGTATGGAGTACAGCTGTTGGGAATCTAGTGGGTAGAAGCCAGAGATGCTGCTAAACATCCTACAATGTACAGGACAGATCCCAGAACGAAGAGTTGTCTGGACTCAAATGTCTATACTGCCAAGTGTGAGAAACCCTGGGGTAAGAATCTGTAAATGGCAGTTGTTAATGACTATGCTACACTGCGATGATCAAAGGAGATAATACTATCTGTTAGACATTCTCAAAGAGGATGTGGAAGAGTAAGAAAAGATCATTAGAAATCAGGGAGTACTATACATCACTTGAAAATAATCAAGTGTTCAGTATATTTTTATACTTAGAAATTTATTTCAAAACATTTTTAATATCACTGGTATTTCTATAGAAAGCAAAACAAGTCAACTTCATGTAGAAAGATGTAATTCTCAATTTTTGGTAGGATACTACTTGAAGCATTGTGATATTTTTATCTTTATCAGCTGAGGACATAGTTTTTAGTTTTTTAGTTTTTTTTTTTATAGTTTATTTTTTTGAGACAGAGAGACAGAGAGAGAGAGAGAGAGAGAGACAGAGAGCACCAGTTGGGGAGGGGCAGAGAGAGAGGGAGACTTAGAATCCAAAGCAGGCTCCATGTCGACAGCAGAGAGCCTGATGAGGCTCCTGGGGCTTGTGAGGCTCATACTCAAGAACCGAACCTTCAGATCATGACCTGAGCTGAAGTCAGAAGCTTAACTGACTGAGCCACCCAGGCGCCCCAAGGACATAGCTTTTTAAAAACTAGGAATCACTGATATTCAGTAAGTGCGACATAAATTTATTTTTTCAAAATATACAATACACTGGGGTGTCCTGGGTGGCTTATTGGTTAAGTGTCCAACTTTGGCCCCAGATCATGATCTAATGGTTTGAGAGTTCGACCTTACTTCAGATCCTCTGTCCCTCCCCCCCCACCTCTCTGCCTCTCCCCAACTTGTGCACGTGTGCACATGTGTGTCCACATGCTCTCTCTCTCTTAAAAACAAATATTACAAAATATACACAACGTAAAACTTTTCTAAATAAAGGTCCATATGCACTAGTTCTAGTAAAAACTTTCATCTGTATTTCAATACTCGTTTTGAGTCACCAGAGTCACCAAAGACATTAGTATCTCAGTGGTGAGGATGAAGGATGAAATGATAGATAACCATCATTTAGTCACTGCAATGCTTTATAAGCTCACTCCTCATATTTCAGAAGCCCACACACCAAAGCTCAGCATGATATATACCCAAGGCATAGAATTAATGATCTATTGTGCTGACTCAGTTTGCAGTTAGAGTTAATTCCATTTTTAATGCTCTGGTCTCCCCAAAGGCTGAAGATTTCCATTCCAGTGACTTGCTAATGGGATGCTAATCCTCAAGAGCCCAGAAAGAGATCACTAACTGGGGAGACATTCTGCTTGTATCTCAATGTA